GCCTTGTGGTCCTCATCGCACCACCACAAACCCATCCACCACAGCATCCTCCCCAGCCGTCCTGCTGGTCCCTCCTCAATCGGACCCAGCCCTATCGCCGTCGTTTCCCGCTACCATCAACGAGGTGCGGCCTCTACATCGACGGGATGTGGCCATCATCCTCGACGAGATGCGGCCATCCTTTCCTTCCTCTGCCCGAGGCAGGCCGAGCTCCTTCCCCTGCCCGAGGCAGGCCGAGCTCCTTCCCCTCTAGCTCCGTCCGAGCCCACTCCCTCCCGCCTAGTTGCTCGTTGATGGCCTCCTCCACTCGCCTAGGCACCATGGCCCCAGCCTGCAACGTCGAGAGGAGGCTGCTCGGTGGTGCCAAATCTAGCAATGGGGGGTCGGTACGCTGCATATGGTGCGCCTCCCTGACATGTTGCTCATCCTGAAGTAATTGTAGTCACATTTTGTAGGCACATCTTGAAATAGTCGTAGTCACATTTTTGCTAATCACATTTTCTATGAGCATCTGCAGTATTTGTAGTTGCACATATGGTCGTCCTTAGTTGGATACGACCATTGAAAAGTTGCAACATGGCGATACTAAGTTGGCTAGTTGACGTGTCGCGCTTGCCTTGAATGTGCAGTACCTCAATTATGTTTGTTACCTCTTTTTCTATTGAATGATATGCAATAATTGGACATACTATTATGGAACGGAGGGAGTAGTTTGCACTCTTTAATTATATATAGTTGCACAGAGACGTATATAAGTTTCACAAGAAACAGGACATAGTTGCACACTTAAGCATGCATAGCCCTGCTAGATTCAGTTCTTAAACTACTATTGGTTCCTAGACTTTTAGGTGTTCAATTTTAGCTATTTTTTAGACATATGAGGTGAAGGTGCACACAGAGCACTACCTAGTAGGTTTTTAGGTTCTGTAGTTGCACATGAATGTCTAGGTAATCGGTTGCATTGTACTCCCTCCGTTCCTAAATATTTGTCTTTTTAGAGATTTCAAATGGACTACCACACACGGATGTATATAGACATATTTTAAAGTGTAAATCCACTCATTTTTCTCCGTATGTAGTCACTTGTTAAAATCTCTAGAAAGACAAATATTTAGGAACGGAGAGAGTACAAAGCATGTTTAGGCGGTCTGGCTGTTTTTTTACAGATACATGTATGCTCAGTTGGTTAGCATTGCTGCCAAGTTGCACACATTGTTTCTGTACTTGTGTCGAGAATGAGTATAAGTTGCATACCACATGGATGCTCAGTTGGTTTGCTCACACTATTAGCCGAATAACCGGTAACATTTTTTCAATTATATTATATGGTACGCCTACTAGTGTTGACAAATTTGTTGCATTTATTTTGTATACTATGTGATTTTGTTTCTCGTTTCCCATGGTTGTAACTAAATGTAATTCCTCTAGTGATCGTAGTTAAATTATGTAGAAGTAGTATACCACACACTGTTTTTGGGTAATTCACACAAGCCATTGTTGATATTTCAATTTCTTTTCTGTTTTTTCTGTACATGATTTTGTGTAAGTAGTAGGGTGCATAATTAGTGCTTGAAATAATAGGGCATCTGTAAGAGAGACACATGACGTCCAATTTCAGTGCTAGTTTATCCAATTTGGCTATTTTTGTAGTACTAGTTGGCCATTGTAGTATCCCTAGTTGGATATGAGCACGAGGAAGTTGCACAATACATCCATACATAGTTGGCAGTTAATTTTTTTGCTTAAGTTACTCTTGTTTTTTCATAATCACATTTTTTCTTGACATCTATAGCAGTTGTAGTTGCACACATTTTTTAGTTCTCAGTTTGGCGTTGTACATAATGTAGATCTGGCATATCCATATATAATACAACTCTCTGAAATATACATTTTTCTTTGATTTTTTGATGGTCCTGCACTCTCCATTAACCCGTAGGTTGATAATCAATTTCTTGTTGTAAAGCGGCGGAGACAGGGACTGCCTGTGCAGGCGGCAGATCCACAGGGAGGTGGTACATCATCTGCAACAGTTATCGAGGTAATAGCAATGGCACTAGACTTGTTTTCACCCTCCTATAGTGTTTTTTTCATGGTTTATTGTTGCTTACTCATTTTCAGAACTCCTTCACCATTGATAAATGCTAGTTCTGCATGTAGTTGCACAAGAATCAATTAGGAGTTGGTATCCTCAACTTTTCAAATAGTTGCACAACAATATCACACGAGTTGGCATCCTCGAATTTCATAGATGCACCAGAACCATTTGGGAGTTGGCAGTCTCAACTTTTTAAATAGTCCCACAACAATATCACATAAGTTGGCATCCACAACTATTTTAGTTGCACAAGAACCAATTAGGAGTTGGCATCCCCAACCTTTTAAACAGTTGCACAACAATGCCACATGAGTTGGCATCTTCAACTTCTTTAGTTTCACAAAAACCATACGGTAGTTGGCATCCTCATGTGTTCACATGCATCTGATTTTCTAGGTTTGCAGATGCACTTGAATGTAATTGCACTACTTATTTGGTAGATTATAATCTTTTAAAATTCACTATTTTTCATTTTGTGTTCTGACACGCTAAATTCATTGTCATCAGTTAAAAACTCATTACATAGTTGCAGAAACCTGCAATATGAATCGCATCG